TTGTCCAGGGGTCACCAGGGAGGAGCTGTCAGGAATATTTACTCACCTGGAGAAAACGAGGCTTTCTAAACCCTGCCTGTTCCCAAGGGGCTGGCTGGCCATCTGGCTGACTAGGGTGCAGATGAGGTCTCGGCCTAGACTGTGAGCTGGGGCCAGGTGGAAAGGGCCTGTTCTGACCAAGCTAAAGGTATCTCCAGGCTCTAACCTGATCAGCAGCTCCCTGAGAGTCCTTCAGCCACCTCAGCTGCTGCCTAGCCCCCAAGCTCTGTCTCAAGGCACAAGTTTCATTGAGCTCATCACTGAGCCTGACAGGCTGGGCCACCATAGTCCCACCCCTGTCTGCACCTGGAAGCCAAACCTTTGACTCAGACATCTAAGGGCTCTAACCATAGGGAAAGATGGGATTAGGATCTTGGCAACTTAGTAGGCACTAACTGTTGTTGAAGTAAATTGGAGTGAATTGAACTGGGGCTCAGTTTCCCGTAAAATGAAAGGATCCAGGTTCCAATACAGTGTTAAAACCTAAGATTTTTTTTTGTCTTGGCAAATGGTTGGAGAAACACATCTTCCTTCTCCTGGTAGAGGTGGGGGGCCAGAGGTATGGAATGTTGCATATGTCAGTCATTTTATCCATTTTACTTAACTGTTTCTTTGTTAGAGAGAATTCTAAAGGGGGAAAGGCAGTACAGCAGGAAATGAGTGGTGTAAAAACAAACAGCATACATAAAGTAGGAAAAAAAAGCAGGAAAACTATCATATATTATTAGAATTCCATGATGCTAGAATTCTCTAAATTGTATAATCTTATGAAATGAAGTGAAGTGAATTGAGAAACAGCAGTGGTATAGTGGAAAGAGCCCTGGATCTGGAGCTGTCCCGGATTCGAATCCCCACCCCACCACTTGCTTGGCTGTGTGTCCCTGGGCAAGTTGCTTAACCACTCTGAGTCTCAGTTTTTCTTCTGTGACATGAGGGTCTTGGATGGAATGGTCTCTAAAGCTCCCTCCAAGTTCAAATCCTATGACTCAGTCAGTCAGTCAGTCAGTTAACAAGTATTTATTAAGCCCTTACAAGGTGCCAGGCACTGTGCTATGTGTTGTGGAAACAATAGAAATGTAAGCTATTATAACAATGAGGGTAAAAATCTTTGAAATTCTGATTGTAGAAGAAATGGCAGAGTAAGGCCCCAGGGCTCAAGTGTGTGGTGGACAGAAGGGGCCTGAGGAGTGAGGGGCAGCATGTCAGCCTGGAACCTGCTACTGGACCCTTTTCCTCTTCTTCCTGCTTTCCTACATCTGTCAGGTAATAATAATAATAATAGCAGCTAACATTTATATAAAACTTTACAATTCACTACCTCATTCGAGTATCACAACCACCCTGGGAGGTAGGTGCTATTATCCCCATTTTGAAGATAGAGAAACTGAGGCAAACAGAGGTTGAGTAACTTGCCCAGGATCACACTGCTAATAAATGTCTGAGGCTAGATTTGAATTCAGGTCTTCTTAACTCTAGGCCTAGTGCTCTAGGCACTGCACCACCTAGCTATCTCTAGGCCAGAGACTGGGCTGGTACTTTCAGGTAGATTCTGAGAATGAGGAGCTCTGCTTCTTTTCAGTAGAATATAAGCCCTTTGAGGGCAGGGGCTGTTAGTTTTTTTGGGTGGGGGTTGTGTCCCTAGGGCCTAATAAAGGGCACCTTTTTAGCTGGTTCTTAATAACTGCTGAATTGAATTGGCAGAGAAAGCTGCAATCTGAAGACAACCTGTCCTAACCCCATCTTCCAAGGGGAGACTTTTCCTCGCCAGGATTCTGCTCTCTGGCCATGCCACGTCTTTAGTAGTGCTCTCCAGGAAGCCTTTTCTGGTACCAGGGTGGGCAGCGGTCTAATGGACAGAACAAGGAATTTGGGGGCAAAAGACCTAGGTTTGAATGACTCTGCCAGTTACTAGCTATGTTCACTTTCTGAGCCTTGGTTTCCTTGTATGTAAACCCGAAGGGGCTGGGCTTGATTTTTAAGGTCTCTTATGCTGATCCTTCTATGAGCAGAGTGCATGGTACTGCTGCGGAGAATGGGGAAGGGGCTGTAGGACTTTCTCTACCTGCTGCTGATCATGCCTTTGCCTGGACAGCCCCACTATGAGCAATGCCAAGTGTTTGCCAGGGATAGGACGCCAACAAGAAAGGCCCTACTGAGAACCTGTCCCCTTCCTATAAAACCTATCACCTCCAATGCCTTAATGAGCTACGCTGGTGAGCAGATGACTGTGACCTGGGAATCCCACAGAGACTAGGAGCGATGGAGCTGCTGAGAGCAGCCGTCACTGACCCCCTTCCTCCCCTGCTCCTCCATGCTTCCGCCTGGTCAGGGGGCAACAGATGGGAGGGGGAAGTTATTTTAGGCCCTGAGCTTTTTCTTTAAGGGAGTTAGTGTGTGTCATAACACAAGTGCTATTGCTTTATGCCCAGCTGGTCCACCTGATTCTACCTGGAAACCTCCTCTGAGTCCCAGAACTGCTGCCAAAGGGCTGGAACACTATGGGAAATGCTTTGCAAACTCTTGATCATCACAGAAATGTGAACTAGGACTAGGCTGGGAGTGCTGAGAAGGACCCAGAGGTCCATTCTGGCAGTTCCACTCAAATCCATAGCTGCAATTGTGAGATCCCAAAATGGTGCTAGGATCTCAATGGCTCTTGGGTCCATTTCTAGCCTACCCCATTAGCCATCAGGGTGACCTATTATTGGAGGAAGTAGAGGGGAGAGAACCTGCTTTGGACGAAGACCAAGAATTGGCCACAGGGAGAGTCTCCCCTGGGGCAGAGGATGAATTGAGGGGATACAGTTCACTGAAATGGACAGTGGGAACAAAGATTTCCCTTTATAAAAATATATTTTCATCAATAATGTTCCAAAGAGATGTCCTATATCTAAGGAAGATATCCCCAAATCAGGGGTTTTATAAGGACTGGGAAAGTCATGAAACTTGGCCCACACAGGCCCCCAAACTTATACCCCCTATTTCTATAGCACAGGAAGTTTTATAAAGCACATTTGTCACAACTGCTATGTGAGGCAGGTAGCAGAAGAATTATCATCCCCATTTCACAGGTGAGAAAACTGAGGTTCAGAGATGTGATGTGATCCCAAGGTCCCAAAACTATTATGTGTCAGAGCTGGACTACAAACTCAGGTTTCCTGACTCCAAGTCAAGGGTTCTTTCCGCATGTATGTGGCTTTACATCTGTTCACATGCACACAGGATTTAGAGGAGGAAGGGACAAGGAAGACCTTCTATCAAATCCTTCTTTCTGGGACAAAGAGGCTAAGGCTCAGAGGAGATATGGGACTCATCCACGCTGGCAGGTCCAGGAATGAAACAGTCTGCTGGTGTTGGTTTTAGTGCTGATTTTCACTACAACGTGCTGGAAATGCTGGACTTCAGGAAGCCAGCCTCCAACCTCAGACCCGACCTTCCGGGGCTCCTCAGGACCCCCACTGATCTTCTCCCACCAGCCCCAGTTCTCATTCCCCACCTCTGACCTCTTTTCTTTTTTTTTTGGCTAGGCAATAGGGTTAAGTGACTTGCCCAGGGTCACACAGCTAGTAAGTGTTATGTGTCTAACGTCAGATTTGAACTCAGGTCCTCCTGAATCCAGGGCCAGTGCTCTATCCACTGTGCCACCTGGCTGCCCCTCTGACCTCTTTTTTTTTTTTTTTTTTGTTTTAGGCAATGGGGTTAAGTGACTTGCCCAGGGTCACACAGCTGGTAAGCATTATGTGTCTGAGGTCGGATTTGAACTCAGGTCCTCCTGAATCCAGGGCCGGTAGTCTATCCACTGCACCACCTAGCTGCCCCCTCTGACCTCTTTTCTTGCAAGGGAGGCAGGCACTTTCAGAGGTGGGCTCTGCTTGGCCATCTGTCCCTCACCCCACTGGGCTCAGCTAGAGGAGGGCAGCAGAAACTCAGGGCCTGCCATCCAAGACCTACTCGTCCCAACCTCTTAGTAGGAAGCCCAGGAATAGGGGGCCAAGACCTAGGGCCCCTCCTGCATCTGTTCGGGCCCAAAACACCCCCTGCAGCTGGCTACCCAGATCCCCCAGGTGTCCAGGGGCTGTGAACTTAGCAATCAGGGCTTCTCTTCTGCTGCTAGGCTGAGTCGGTGAACCTGCCAACAGCAGGGAGTTAGCCCAGTGCCAGGCTGATGCTGGAAATGTACTGTGCCTAAGCACTGCATTGATTGCCCTGAGCTGACATATGAAGGTTCCTTCTCTTTGATAACAAGATTTTCCAAAGGCCATGCTAGTTTTCATTTCACACCTATATTCAGAAGAAAGGCAAGAGGGAAAAATCCAGCTAAGCTAGGCCAAATCAGAGAACCAGGCCTGAGAGAACTAAGGACACAGTCCCAAGGAGAGCTCAGCCTGGCCCAGCTTATGCCTGGGGCCCAGTCCTAGCAATCAGCCTCTGGGGAAAGGGCTGCCTGCAAGTTGTGCTCAGAGCTTAAACCACTCACTGTGCCCTGGAAGCTTACCCTAGTACTCACCATGTCGCCAATGCCCCAGCTGCTTCACCAGAGACTTCCTTCTACAAAGCAATGGAGTCCTCCTCCCCTTCCTGGGGCTGAGACCTGCTCCCTTCTCCTCTCCCTTCACTCCTCCACCATCTCCTAGACTAGATCCTGCCATGGGTACAGACAGGCAGACCAGAAATCATGCTGCATGACAACTACATGACACACGCCAAGCCTGTCCTTGACACCTACCCCTTTCACCTCAAATTCAATGTTGCTCAGGAGAGGTTTTCAGCACTTAAAAAAACAGTGGGAGGCTGCGCTGCAAGCCCAATTTCTAAATTCTCCTTCCCTTGAAGGCCTATTAAGACAAAGGCTCTATCAGGGAAAAGCACAGAGATTCTGTCTCTTCCCGGTTTCCTACTAGCTTGGCCCAAACTCTGAACAGGACGCCATTTCCCCTTAGAGCACTTGATTTATTCCTTACCTCTACCAAATGAGGAGTTGGGTTGAAGCCACACAGGTTGCACACTTGTAGCTTGCAGGTGGTACATGTATTGTAGTTGGATGGCTCCCGGGAGCCCACATTGAGTTCGGCCTGGCACAGTGGGCATTTGACCTTTTCCTTCGGCACTTCCTTTGGCTTGGGGACAGCCTTGGGTGCAGTCTGGTGTTCTGCCTTACTTTGTTTTGGACTAGGTGCCCCTGCTGGTCGGCCAAGAGCCCCAGGTCCTGACCCAGGCTCAGATTTAGGCCCCGAAGCAGGGCCAGGACCAGGCCCAGCTTTAGGTCCAGTCCCAACCCCAGGCCGAGGCCCAGTCCCAGATCCTGGCTCAGCTCTAGGGCCAGCCCCAGGCCCAACTCCAGGCCCGGGTCCAGGCCCAGCTCCAGCCCCAGGTGCTGGCCCAGGTCCCCGTCCAGCCGCAGGTGCAGGTCCAGGCCCGGGTCCAGCCCCAGATGCTGGCCCAGGTCCCCGTCCAGCTGCAGGTCCAGGTCCGGTCCCTGATGACTTGGGCCCTGCTTCCTTACTGGCATCACTGAAGACTATCTTGGGGGGCCCTTTGCCAGGAGACGGCTGGCCTTGTGGACCGGCCTCTGGCTGGACAGACATAAGTGTGCTGGCCTGGGTCAGCAGAGAAGCCCCAAAGCCAAAAAGCTTCCCAGTGAGTCCCTCTTGGGCTTGTTCTTGAGCCCCAGATCCAGGGGTTGGAGTAACTCCCTTGACTGGGGAAGGATGGGGATGAGGGGAAACCCGTCCTGCTTCCTGAGGCACAGTGGCTCTGGCCTGTCCTTGGCTCTGGGCTTCCCGCTGCCCTGGCACCACAGGAGTTCTGGGCACTTCAGCCTGCCGGACGCCAGGCCCCTGTTGGAGCCCAGGCTGTGTGGTTCCAGGGATTTTCTCTGGCTCAGGCTTCCCCTGAGCCTGTGTTGGGGGCTGGGGCTGGGGCTGGGGTTGGGGCTGAGGCTGGGGCTGGGGCTGGGGCTGGGGCTGTTTGGCTGGGGAGTGGGCAGGAGAAAGAGAAGGCGAGTACAGCTGCTGCTGGCTTTTGGAACGAGGTGCAGTGGTCATGTCCATCCCCAAAGCTCTCTGCATCTGGCAATTCAGACACAGCCATTCTTTCACCTGGAAGAGAGAGAACACAGCACAGTCACGCCTAAGAAATAACCTTCCCAGCCCCACCAGCCTGGCAAGTTGGTTCCAACCTGCTTGCTATACATCACAAGGGAGTCAATGGGATGTAGTGTGTGTGTGTGTGTGTGTGTGTGTGTGTGTGTGTGTGTGTGTGTTTGTACATGTGTGCATGCATGTGCTCCCATTCAACAATACAAATTACATAGAGTACCCATGGGGAAAGATAACTCAAGAATTCTTCCTACCCACCTACCCCAAAGGAGCAGATTTCTGGAGTCACAATGGAATGTTTCCTCCACTTCCTATTTTTATGTCCTAATATGTGCTTGAAGTGGTCCTAAGTTCTCCAAAGCTGTGCTAGAGAAAGAAAGACAAGCTTTGGCTAGTTTAAGCTAAGCTAAGGAGGCTTCAAGAATGAGCCCAGCAACCTGTCATCTGAGGACCAGACTTATGGTGCAGAAAAGCTCATTCCCAGATGCTTGATTGGCAGGGGATGACATTTTCGGCCATAGCATCTCATAGCTTAATAAAAGCTCATTGAATTGAATCAAATGAAGAATTAATTGTCCAGTAAGAGTGCAAATCTATGTTTGTGAAGGAAGTATCCATGGTGAGATGATCATGGATGCTTTTGAAGTTTTGAAGAAATGGATTATTTAACCTCACACCACTTGGATAAGCCAATGGAAATCCAATCTACTTCTATCTGCCCCACTGTGAAATCTTAGCACACGGTTAAGCTCAGGGTTGGGAAACCTGTGGCCTCAAGGCCACATGTGGCCCTCTAGGTTCTCAAGTGGGGCCCTTTGACTGAATCCAAATTGCAGTCAAACTTCAGTGAAGTTTGGATTCAATCAAAGGGGCCCCACTTGAGGGTCTAAAGGGCCCCACCCTTGGTTAAGCTAATCCAGCAGGTCCCAGGGTCTTCTAGTACTTCATTGATCTGAAGCAGAAGAGATCTTAGAAAGTGCCTTGATTCAACCCCTTTGTTTTACAGATGAGGAAAATGAAGCCCAGAGAGGGGAAGGGACTTGACCAAGGTCACAAAGGTACTAAGGAAAAGAGGCAGGATTGAAACCCAGGCCCGCTGACTCCAAATGCTGTGCCCTCTTCACTGTACTATACTAACTTCCTGGGGACACAGCCCTGCTTGGGCCCAGTCAAAATTCCCTTCTGTGTGTGGGAGTGCCTCCTACCATTCATTCCTTCTACAGACAAAAAAGGAAGGAAGCCTTTTCTGGCTTCTTATGCTCTTTTAAATTGCTAAAATTAAAACCAGTATCCACCTCCTGGAGCAGAGAGCTTATCAGCAGTAACCCACCTTCCCTTCCTTTTAACTGTCAATGGCTGCTTCCATCCCTGCCCCACACAGCTAAAGGAACATTTTCAATAAGGGCACGACACAATTGCTGGCTGGCGGAAAGAAGCAGAAGAGAAAAAATAGCTCTAAGAGACAAGTTGGTCCAGGGAAGGGCTGATTAGTTGCCTTTCCCCAACTAGGGCATTTTCCAAATTTGCCAGAGTGGACTCTTTCCCACATCTATTTTTACCTCCCCATTCAATTGCACATCATCAGGTTCCCAAGCACACCCGAAATCCATTGCCTCATCCCTTCCTGCCTGCCTTTGACAGCAAGGTATCTGTCAGTAGCCCTGTCCCCTAAAACTCTTCTTCTGTTCTCTCATCACCTCCCTGCCCCTCTTTGATCCTTACTGGGGCATCGATTCAATTCAGACAATGCTTTTCTGTGCCCAAGGCAAACACAGCCCAGCAGCACTACCTTCAGGAAGAGGATACTTCCCTCCCCTGACACAACTCTCCACCCCTCCAAGCATCCCTAAGGGACCAGGGTGGGCATTGTTATCATTCAGTTGCTTCACCAGTGTCTGACTTTTCAGGGCCTCATTTGGGGTTTTCTTGGCAGGGATACTTCAGTGGTTTGCCATTTCCTTCTCCATTCCATTTTACAAATGAGCAAACTGAGGCAAATAGGGTTAAGTGACTTGCTTGGGTCACATAACTAGTCCTTATCTGAGGCTGGATTTAAACTGAGGTCTTCCTGATTCCAAGCCCAGTGCTATATCCACTGCACCACCTAGCTGCCCTAGGAAGGGTATGGTCCAGGTCATAGAAATGTAGATTTTGAACTGGAAGAGGTCTTAGAGGTCACTGAGTCCAATGCTGTCATTTGAGGGGCTATGAAAAAATTTGAGGGATGGCAGATATGATGTCATTCCTTTGGACCTAGTTGTCTGATTTCTTTAGCCTCAGTGCTCTGTCTCTCTCCTCCCCCCCTCTCCCTGTATGTGTGTGTGTGTGTGTGTGTGTGTGTGTGTGTGTAGGGAGGGATTAGGCTAGTTACCTAAGGGACTTGACCTTCCTGGGCCTTCCCTATGTTCTGTTCATCAGCACCTGTTCATCTGTCCAATTGTTCATTCATTCATTCAACAGACACATTGCATTATGACCACAAGGACTTCTGATGGCTGGCCTCTTTTGGACTTCTCTACACCAACCAAATCATTTGACTAGTCTCGTGAATTGCTCTTAGGTACAAATACCCTTCCCATTCTCTCCATCAAGCCAGGTACCTCTCTATCGTCAGACCTTAGAGCAACCTCATCTGCTTTCTGGAGGCTTCCATGACCTCTTTTTGGATCAATGGCCCCAAACCCACTCACACCATCCTCATGATGATCTCTATGGAGCTGTCACTGAGTGCACATGTGTTTCTCTCACCTCTGCCTACATTCTCATGGTAAAGTTCAGAGGCAGAAAGTGACACATCTGCAAACTGCCAAATATCCCAAGGCAGAGGAAAACTTGTTTCAGGGCCTCAAAAACAATGTAAACAATAAAAATGATTGCCAAGCTCAAGGCCAATTATGATACTAAATATATGCATAGGGATATTTTGAGACTCAATCTCATTTTTCCATCAAATTCCTTGTTTTTTTCCTCATTATTAAATAGCTCAACATTAAAAAAAAACTCATTTTTTTTTTAAAGCTCTGAATCAACCTTTTTCTAGGCACTTGGACAGGTTTCTCCAACAATTTGCAGAATAACTAATTTTGGTCTCTGGGCCCTACCCAAAGGAGATATAAGTATCCATTCCCCCTATTCTTCACAGCATGGATACTCCCCAGGAGAAACCCTATATTTACTCTTATCAGATGAGAGGCTGCTTAAGGAGGGATCATGACTCTGTGAAGAGGTGAAGGAGAGGGAACCTTATCATCTCATTGAGAGCTGAGCAACATCTCCAGAGGACATAGCCAAGGACACACCAATAAGTTAGCAATGAAGCCTGACAAAGATCCAGAGGTAGCTTTTCTATTCTCAAGCTTTCCATACCTCTACCCTTCTAACATCACAGTTCATCCTGAGTTTTCTGAAGCTCTTCCAGGTGGTCAGTGGGCCAGTCTCAGATTATTATAATAACTGTCTTAAGGAACTTTCCACCAAAGTCCTTTCCGATGCCACAATGATGTGCGGTAGTGACTGTGGATTCTATAAGCCTATGTCACTCAACTCTGGCAAGTCCTAAGCTAGAGTTTCATGATGGGCTATGTGTTTCTTCTCCAAGGACAACAATAATACATATTTATTAAGAACCTGATAGACTGTAAGTTCCTTGAGGGCAGGGACTGCTTCATTTTTGTCTTTGTATCCTCAGCATCTAGCACAGTGCTTAGCAAACAGTAGGCACAGTTTGTTGATAAATGGATTGATTTCCCTAATGTGTACAGACACCTGACCTTGGCGCTGAGGGAGACACAAAGCTTCGCTAACATATAGTCCCTGCCTTCATAGAGCACATAGTCTGATAGGGGGACAAGGTGGAAACAGATAACTCTAATATACAACTTTTTCTTGCATTACAGAGATGTAAGCAAAATATTACACGAGGTTCAAGAGGCAAGATTACCAAGTGGAGAGATAAGAGAAGACTTCATTGGGATCCAGCTTAGCTAAGTTTGGAGAAGCTAATCACCAGAGGGTTGGTCACTACTTGAGATAAATATTTATATATATATATATGTATATATGTGTGTATACAACACACACACACACATATAAATAAATGGGCAGCTAGGTGGCATAGTGGATAGAACACTGGGCTTAGAATCAGGAAGACTCATCTTCATGAGTTAAAATCTGGCCTCAGACACCTACTAGCTGTGTTACCCTGGTCAAGTCACTTAATCCTGTTTGCTTCAGTTTCCTCATCTGTAAAATGAGCTGGAAAAGGAAATGGTAAACCACTCCAGTATCTTTGCCAAGAAAACCCCAAATGAAGTCACGAAGAATCGCACATGACTGAAACAGCTCAACAACAACAACATATATACATACGTAGTTAGATTTTAATATATGTCAGAGTCACTCACTATGATCCTATCCTGGGATATAGTAGGGTTTTGATCTGTGTCAATGGGGGGAAGTAATCATACTGATGATATCAAAGACTCTTAAATTATAACAACATTCTTCTGTCCACTCCTTAGGGCATTCACTCTGGACTGCCCATTTCAGGAGCCCATCAGACGCTGGTGTCTCCCAGGAAAGAGTGTCATATTGTTTCTTACTTTGGGAAAAGATTTAGTCAGTGACCACAAGAGCTTAAATGGCCCTGGCCAGCACCCCCTCTTCTCTGGAACGTGTCACAGACGTCTTACCCAAAATAGAAACTCCCAAAGAAATGACTGAAATATACCTAAGTGACTCAGAGCCCAGATGGATCCAGCTATTTCCTGCCTCTCTCCAGACTAAGATAGAGAGTCTTAAACAACTCCCCCAGTTTGCCTTCCCACCCCCACCTACAGGCATCCAAAGAATACTTCTTGAGGGGGCAGAGGGAGGAATGTTAGAAGTCAGTCCCTTTTCTTGGGACAGATAGCATCCTGTGGGGCTCAGCTCACTCCATATTTCTGATATAGCTGCCCTTCCCTTGTCCCAGGATGGATGCTGATTGAAAGGAGAGACAG